GAATTGAATTCACCCATTCCTGTCCATTTTAGTTCACTGATTCGTAAGATGTTGATGTTCAGTCTTGTCATCTCTTGTTTGACCACATCCAGCTTGCCTTGATTCACGGATCTTACATTCCAGGTTCCTATGGAGTATAGATCTTTGCAGCATCAGACTCTCCTTTCACCACCAGATACATCTGCAACTGAGTGTCCTTTCGGCTTTGACCCAGTCGCTTCGTTCTTTCTGGCGCTACTAGTACTAGCCCTCCGCTCTTCCCCAATAGTACATTGGACACCTTCCGACCTGAGGGGCTCATCTTCCGGCATCATATCTTTTTGCCTTTTGGTACTGTCCATGGGGTTTTCATGGCAAAGATATTGGAGTGGGTTGCCATTTCCTTCTCCACTGGATCTTGCTGATAGCTTGCCTAGGAGCTGCCAGGGCTATTGTTTTGCTAATCAGTAAGAACTGATAAGACAGCATTGCAATCACCCTCATTTGCACGCCAAAACCCACAATAATCCATGTGCCTCAGTGATCCTTATGCTAATCTCCTGCAATCAAATGCCATTATATTGAGCCCCCTGTGCAGACCTCCCTCCTCCTCCTCCTCACTGATCACCTTGTTTCGTCCTCACCTGCCCAGCTGCTGGGTCCATGTGACTCAGAACCTATAAAACATCCTGTGTATGTTCTAAAAGCTTGCTGTTGGTGCTGAGAACCACTGTCCGGTAGCCTGCTGGGGTCCTGGGTGATCTCACCAACAAACAAAATGTTCAAGGACATTCAGTCTTCCCTGCAGGTCCAGGTAATTCATTCTTGCCATTAGTAAAGAGACTCTGACAATGCTCTTTGGAAGACTGGGCTGAACACAGGGGGACGCCCATGAATGCTTGGAGGGATGAATTCTGGTGGGGTTTGTCCCATCCTTACCCATAGCCTTACCCCAAGGATTGCCATGTGTTGATATGTATCAACAGTTGTGTTAATAGAAATCAACAAACCAGTTCTAGCAGTTTTCATCTGCAATGAGCAGGTCCTTTGCAAATTTAACAGGTCTTAAGGTGCAATCTTATGACCTTCTGACATTGTTTGGAAGGCCAAAGGATTATTGGGAGTTTCAGCTCTGAGGACCCTCATTTGTAAAGCTGGAACCACCATCCCATGCTGCACAGCTGGTGCAGACAGAACCATGTTGGGTGACTCTCCAAGTGAAGAAATTGGCCTTGGAGGAGTCTGGAGAGGGAAGAGGCTGGGACAGGCAGACAGAAGTGGCGCTCTGCCTCCTTCCCTCACCCTCCAAGGCAAATCATCGAGACGACCAAAAACAATTGTCCAGATGGAATTCAGAGCACAAAGGCTCAACTGGGCCGTGGTGTGGAGAAGTCATTAAGCCAGGGTTTCCCTAGCATGGAGAGAAGCGTCCTAGCCTCATGGGCTTGCCAGACCACCCAAGCAATGACAGGAAGACAAAGGCCCCACATGCTTGGCCCAGCCCATCTGGTGCAGCAGGACTCCTTTAGTCTGAGGACCAAATTTTGGATGGGTTTTCAGGGGCTTCTTTTCCGCAGGTGGTGGGGCCAAAGGCAAAAGGGACAGAGCCAAAGACAAATGGGGTGAGGCCAAAACACCGCCCCCAACCACGTCAACCTGTTGGAATGGAAGAACCACCAATGGTGGGGGCTCCAGGAGGGGTGTGGCCACTGGGAGAGCTGGACTGGGATTCCAGGGGGGTTGGATTTATCCTGTGGGACCGGGGTTCACCACCCCTGCTTTAAACTTTGCAGCAGTGCCCCATACACTCTGCCATCACGTCCGAAGGGCTCTTTGGTCATGCTAATGTGTATCAGAATGCTTTGAAGGTACCAATGTTTTGATGGCATTTTCCATTGCGTGCAAGAGGATTTATAGGTCGAGAAGCCTGTTTTTGTGCTGGCGTTCCCCTTGTAAGGAAAAGGAAGGCAAGAAAGGCAAATCTCATGATGAGAATGCCAGCTGCAAATCTTTTTAAGTTTCTTACAGCTTAGCATTGCACTTTTCCTGCAGCAGCTGACGGAGGCAGTGGAGAGGGGAGGCAAAGTAAAAGAAGAGCCTGTTTTTTTTCTGGCCAGTCTGGACATAAGAATAACTGTACTGGATCTGGCCAATAACCTACCTAATTCAGCATTTCATTCCCACAGCGGCCAGCTGGAATGGACATAAACAAACACCCGTGATGCATGACTCATGGTAGAAGTGATATTTGAGAGAAAGCAAATGCATAAGCACAGAAAAGTATATTAGCCCAGTATTGTTAATGTTAATAATCTGGGTATTGATGCAATTACCTGCACCAGTGTCAGTGAGTCCAAACAGGAAAGGGTTCTGTGCATTAATATAGCAGCTACCCTGAACGTTGTAGGCCAAATCAACAATCCTGGCTCAAGGCAACCAGAAGGAATCAGGTGATTGATGTGCTATTAAACAAAAGTGATGCCCCAGAAGTGAACCATACACACAGGTGGGAAACACCTGCCATTGGGTTTGGAGAGAAGCAGGTGACATAAGGACAAACAGTGTTTGTCACCAGGTCCATCATCCCCTCACTTCAGCTGGCCTGCAGCTGTGAGGTGCAAAACCTGGAAGTGTGCCTCACACTCACAACAGCAGTTTTACCTTGAGATGGGGTTGCCAAGGGAACAAAACAAAACCAAGCATAGTTGGCTCAAAACAAGGAGACACGCACTTCAGCAGTGGGGTCAGGCATGCCCCTTTGCTCAAAGCTGCGCTCCACGCTGCTGTGCAATGCACGAGAGCAGAGGCCATTAAAGAAGTAGGCAACTCTCTTTGGAAGAAGGAAGTGACACATTGTTCTGCCTCCTTTCAGCAACAGGGTCAGATGTAAACATTGATGGTGTACTTTCATGTTTCTGTCAGACAGAATTCAGGAAAAATACTTACGGGGGAAACATGACTAGAACAAAGAGATAAGCCTGAAGTGTGGCCAAGCAGGATGTCTCCACCTTTTTCCTGGCAGAGATTCATGGCCGTTAACAGACAGAAACCTACAGTTCCCTTTTCACCATCACTTGCAAATCTGCTCATTTCGCTCTGTCATGCATCTTTAAAGGCATATCCTTTCCAGGTTGGAATTTCATCAATGCATTACTTTGCTGCATTTTGGAAAAGGGTATTTCACAACCGAGTTATTTTTTCATATTCAAATCCGTACTTGAACCTCCTTGTCATGGACCAGCCCTGGTGTTAGACCTCGGACAACCGATCTTGGGTGTCATGGAGGAGCAGCAAAGGGTCAGTGATGCAATCGATCATTGTTGTATTTTGACCCCCATTGTGGTGAAGGGGGTTTTCTGCCACAGAGAGCAAAATGACGCGGACACCTTTGGGTGTGACGCCTCTTGATGAGGCTTGTGCAGGTCTTTCTTGGTCTGCCTCAGGTAGGAAGAGGTCTTGGTCTGTCCTTGCAGGGGTATCAAAACCTGTGAAAGCATTTCTTCAATACACAGATTGAATTTTGAAAGAGCATCTTTCTGAAACTGTGTCTCTCCTTTAGCCTGCTAGACTGAAATGGAATAGGAACAGCATTTCCCAATATTGGCTCTCCATTCTGTTGGGCCATTGTTAGGACCAGGAATAAGTAAATAAGGAAAAAGAGGGCAACCATGCCGACAGGTGTGGTCAGCACCCAAATCCTTCTGCTTCAAAATACTATGTCTACCCAGCACCTTCGCTGAGTGAGCTGATAACCACAGTCTGAGAATATTTTGGGATCTTGATGAAACCCCACCCCCTCTTGATCCCACACCTCCTTCTCCTCCCTTACTGAAATAGCACCTTGGGGTACCATCTTGTGCCCCATGCCTCTGATGCATGTATGCATCCGAAGTCAGACTTGCCTACATCCCAAGCCCAGAACAAGGTGCGACAGTGGCGGTTGCGCCAGGTACTGTTGTGCCAGGTATTTTTGGCCATTTGCAGGGAGGGACAGGGAAGGATGTTGGAACTGGCCCAAGCCCTCAATTCTAGCTTCCTCCCCCTCTGGTCTCTTCCCCTCCGAGGCCCAGATGCTAACCTGGAGGGGGGCAACTGACACGATTCTTTCTGGGCCAGCTGCAAGGCGGGCAGGGTAAGGGCCTGGCCTTGGAGGTCAGGATCCAGGATTGCAGGACGTCCGAGCTGGGATTCCACGAAATTCTCTGGCCTCCAAGAAAATGCCTGGCAGCCATCCATGTTGGGAGGGAGTGTTCCCCCCCGGCACATTCCAAGCCACAGAACTCTTGCAAAATGTTCTTTATTGACCAAAGCATTTTCCAGATGCACAAACACCTGGAATGAATATCTGAGATATACAGAGGGGTCTGTTGAGTCTAAGCTAGTGTTCACCTCCAGGAACTCTCCTTTCGAGCATGCCTGGGCCCCATCCCTTCTGGTGGGGCCTTCTGAAAATGAGTGCACCTCCTCACTGCACACCAATCCTCTTTTGGGGCTGCTCTTCTCCACTAACGGTGCATCAAGGGGCCAAAAGCCAGGGCCACCTCATCTGCGTCTGAGAAACGCCCCTGCTCCAGGCCCATTCCCACCAACTGTATACCCTGGTTCTTCCCAGAGGCTGCTTGTCCACCTGGGCAGCCTGACCTTGAGATGAACGTCTCCACTTCTGTCAGCTCAATGACTCCCCTTCTGGAGACCAGCCAGCAGCCCTTGAGAGTATGAACTCAAAGCCACCCTCTTTCTCACTCCCAGCAATAGGATTGTGACTAGAACCTCTCCTCACCCCACACAACAAAAGTGCATACACACAGTCTGTGTCCTAGCCCGGTGATTTTTTTAAATGCCAGGTGTGACTTTACCCTCAAGCTCCTAATTTTTAATCGCATCCTCATATTTGTTCCTGAGGCTTTCATGCACATCCCAGAGACTGATTTTCTGTTTCTGAATGAAGCTGCTATTGACACAAGTGGCTCAAAGGCAGCAGAGCTTCTGTATGTGGGCAACAAATAGAGCACAGAGTGAAATGCATTCATTAGGATTTACTGATCTTCATTTTCCAACACAGAAATCACTGAGGTATTGAGTTACATCGCAAGGAGTGCTCAGTTATTCTGAGGCATAGATGTATGCCTCAATTATGTGAACCCAGAAATAAAATGTTGAACCCCCTCTGTCATTAGGACCCCTTGTGGAGTTCAGTTTAAAACTCACAGACTGTGAGGCGGAATTTATCACACTGTTTGTCATTCCAGGTGCCGTCAGTGTACATTTCCACACATTTCTCTGTCCCTTTGCCTGAGGGCTCATCCCTGTACCAGTTTGTAAAGTTCAGGGGTGCCCCGTTCAGGAAATGGAACTTCCCAGGAACTTGACCCTCGGTAATGCCCAGATAAGCATAAGTATCAAATCGTTGCACAAAACTCATAATCGCCTCGTTCTCTTCCTTGTTCATTGGAAACGCAATTTTGCCATGAGCAGTTCTGCATAATCTCACTGTATCATCAAAATCGGCCGTTTTCTCCGTGGTGGCAAACAGTTTGCTGCCCGCGAGTACGATCTTCCCATTCAAGCTGAAGGCTGCAAAACAAATGCAGGAGGTGGTTACTTCTTCTTGTGAGACATTCTGGTCCTTGCTCTTGTTGCACCCCCTTTTTACCCCAGGAGGACAAACATTTCACATTAATGGGAAGAAAACAGCTCTTCTTCAGTAGTGCCTGATCAGGCCAGTTTTGTGGTAGATGGGGCCTCTATGACCCTCTTGTGACCCACCCAGCTGAGTGAGGTCTTCCAGGGGCCTGAGACTTCAACCTGTTTCTAGACTTCCTGGCAGGTGCATGAGGTTTCTTAGAAACTTGGAATACATAATTGATGGGCTGTGTTGATCTTGGAGGGCTGTAAGCAGATCCATGTTGCAGATTTTAAGCTCCAAAGGTATTAAATAATAAGCCAGAGGTGAGGAACTTGTAGGTCTGGCTTAATTTTATATGGATGGGGAAAGCCCAGAGGATGAGAAGAGGGGCAGGAAGAAGGAGAAGTATGGAATGGAATGATGGAAAGAGGAGGAGGAGGAGGAGGAGGTGGAAAAGTCTCTGTCAGGAAGCAGTTCTGACATCTGGCAATAGAAATCTGCTCCTCCCCAGGAACCCTGTGGCTGAAGAGGGAAAAAGAATGCAGAAATGGGTGGCTGGGGAGAGAGAGAGGAAGTGCCCCTATCCTCTGACCTTCCCTTTCAGTGGCTGCCATCCTGCCTGCAACAGAAAAATCTGCCTTAAGTGAACAGCTAGAAATAGAAAGAAAGTGGAAATGCTCACTAGGGCAGAGATGGAGCAACTGGTACCTTACGTGGGAGATTTAATCCAACTCCTAATGGCCAATCAAACTTTAGTGCAGAAAAGGTAAATGTTTTGCCTCCCCTTTTATTTGCAAGGGCAAAATGTTTCTCATACAGAGACTTCACTGTAAAATGTTAGAGGCCTCTTACTGAATGTGTAAACACACTCAAGCAAGCATCTGTGGTACTGTGCTTGAGCACCCCAGCTCAAAATGTTAATGCTAGAGAGCTGCCAATTTTGCTATTACAGAGTCTGATGGACATGTGTGAGGGGACTGATCCATGCAAACTGAAATTAAATGCTGACATCTCTGCTTTACAGCAAGACAGAGTCAAGCCTGCATGGAATAGGGAGAGTATCACAATATGGTTACATCACTAGTTGATACTGGACTTAGCTGCATCCGAGTGAAGCCCTTTCTGTACTTATTGGAGTGAGACCCTAAACTTCTTGTTTAATTCCTGATATGTACAGAAGCCAAGTCCTCCATGTCAGCCGGGCTGTAACATCTGTTGTGCAGAAGAAGGAATTCCATCAGATGAAGGTTTTATTATGTCTGCAGCAAAAATGGTACCTACTGAAATTCCTCTTCTGCTTTGCTTCTGCTCATCATTACCTGATTTTAGCAAGGGCGGCGGGGGGGGGGGGGGGGGACAGTGTGTTTAGATCATCTCAAACACAGGGGAAAGCTCAGATAGTTGTATTAAAAAATCCTTCCACTGAGAAAGCTTGATTTTTGGAGCGCTCAACTTCACTCAGTGGCTGCAGTGTGTGTGTGTAGGGCATAGTAGTTCATCATTTTAGTCCCATCAGCCCTCTGAAGTGGTATAACACAGGCCTAGGTTTACTATTTCAGAGAGAATTATAAAGCTGAACAAAAGGCTGTTCGAATGGTTACTTGAATGGTGCACACTTTTGAAAACTGTTGGAGAAAACTGTGTTTTAGTAAATGATCTCTTCTCTGGGACTTCTTTAAAAAATGCTTGGGAAGTAATTGTATAAAAATCAAAACAAATCACCCGCTTTTAAACTAGCATGGAGGAAAGCAATTATTTTTAAATATACCTCTTTCCAATCTGGTGATTCTGTGTTTGAGTTCCTTGAGGTCATTTTGTAATTTAGCATCCTGAGATGCAGGCAGACCTGTGATCAAAATAACCATTATTCATCCATTTCAACTGTAATTGTTATTTGGTTCTCTGACATGGTGACATTCACTAGACAGCAGAGCAATTTGCCTTAATAACCACCTGGAATATAAACTGATGATAGAAAAGTGGGTATAAATTAATTAATACAATTAGAATAAAATAACTATTTCTATATGTTGAGCATACTTAATTTTCCATCTGAAATAAGCCAATTTTTCTTTTATTGAATAGACCTGTGGTATATTTCTTCCTTTGAATGTGAATAGTGCTGGAAGCTATCAGAAAGAAAATTAGAATTGCATCCAACACATCCTTTCCTAGGAATAACCCACACTTCTTTCCAAGTACATTGCATAATAGCAATCCACTATTAATGCAGTACTGTAAATGAGAACCAGGACTTTCCAGATCCTGCTCCTACAGCTGCTATCTGAAGTTCCTAAGATGAACAACTGGCAGAACTGTTTCTCCGAAGAGAGCTGGTCCTCCATGACCACAATGGACATAGCAGAGGATTTTGGGAATGGGATGCAACCTAACAGCTATGCTCAGCCAACACAGATCAGCATTGAGGCCTTAGAAACCTGCCCTTCTCAGGGGCCATTTGGCTATGGAGAAAAATTCCATGGTGGGCCATTGTAATCATGCAAAGAGCAATGGTGTGGTGGTGGGTGAACAACTCAGAGCTTCTGGCCCACTACTCCCATTGGCCCTAGTCAAGAATACCAGTGATGAGGGATGATGGGAGATGTATGCCCAAAGCTTTGGAGAGCCACAAGTTGCCCAACCTTGGGGAAGCCATGGCATTCCTCTGCCATTCTCTCTGCCACCTCTCTCTCTATGTGTCACCCATCCCCTTTCTTTCTCTCACTCTCTGACACCTCCCTTTTGGGGCTGGATGGTTGAAGACTGCAACAGAGGGGTGCACTGAGCAACTTCCAGCAGCGACCCTCAGCTCACACTCGATCTTCCTCATCTTTGTCTTATCTGGCTCTTTTGGACCATCACAATACCTTGATATTGGACCAGTGGAAGCAAGTATGGTTGACATTTCTGAAAATATACTGCTAGATTTCACGTTTTCAAAAATTACGGGTGAACCATTGTTTGCTTCTTTCTTGTTCTTGTCATGGATCCATTAACATGAATTCACTTTATATGAGGAGAAAATTCATTTTATTTAAGTGCTACAAACAGCAAAAGCTGTAAAGCTTTTTTAGAAGTTGGTAGTGTAACATAGTTTTGAACAAGTGTGCGTACGTACTTCCCTCTAGTGGTTCAGTGATATTATAGAGGCCAATGGAGTTCGATGCTGAGAATACACGTTTCAAGCAGGACTAAGAAACTGAGCAAGAACTATCCTTCCTTCCTAAGTGTTTCTGCAGTGGCAACAACAACAAAATACTAAGAATATTCTAGTCCTAGTCTGTCTAGTTATAGTCTAATGTTGTACTTCTAGTCTGATTCATGACTTCGTGTTTAGCAGCACACAAGTGGTTCACAGTCATGGCTTTGCTTAATCCCAAGATTGCATGTGTTTTTCCCTTTGGAGAGAGAGATTTATTGTAGCTCCCATAGACACAGTGCTGCATCAGTCCACTTGGCTGAGCATTCCAGGCACTTTCTCTTGCTTATACTTTTGGATCCAACCTGCCCCAGTGCAGCAGCACACCCACAAAGAAGGAAGACTTTGGTGATGGCTGAAGTGCTCCTGCATCCTCACCGAGCCCAAGAACTCACCTGGTTTGCCCTGCGGTCCTGCCGGACCACGAAGTCCATCTCTTCCTGGAGGACCTCGGGGACCTGCCAGGGGGAAACAGGTGGATCAGCACATTTGTTAAGATCTCAGGCCTTTCTTCCAGACCTTAGAAGAGCACCTGAATTTTAGTGGAAACTGCTGCTCTGCCACAAGAACAAATGCACAAATGAAATCCCAGTAATGAGAATTCAAGAACATCCATGTGTAAAATACCCATTAGTCCATTGCAGCACCATTATTAACCGCACCCTGATTTTATTTCTTGGAAATGTACAAAGAAGTGCAGCTGTGGGACTGTGTCCTCGGCCAACTGGTGAAGTTCTTGCTTCAAACAGCCATTCAGGACACTTTTGACAGGAAATGCTGAGAAAAAAAGATGCACAAGTTACTTCTGCATTCTCTTCTTTTCCCAACGCATGCCCTGTGTGGTGTGATTATATGCTGTAGCCCCATAGCATCTAGCTACCCTCAGAGTGTTGCTATGAGGGATTTTTGTTTGTTTTAATAAGTGAGAAATTGATGAACTTGAACACTGGGTTCAAAGCAACAGAATGAGATTCAGTAGGGACAAGGGACAAGTTCTCCACCTAGGGAAAAGAAACCAAAGGCATCAATACACGATGGGGACTACGTGGCTCAACAGCACTGGAAAAGAAAAAGATCTTGGAGTAATTGTAAGCAATCGGCTAAACGTGAGCCAACAATGCAATGCAGCTGCCAAAAGGGCAAATGCTATTCCAAATCACAAGACGTAGTAGTTTCTCTATACACCTCACTAGTCAGACCTCATCTGGAATACTATGTCCAGTTCTGGACACCAAGATTTAAGAAAAATGCAGGAAAATTAGAAAGGGTCCAGAGGATGGCAACAAAAATGATCCAGGGTTTGGATACACTGCACTATGAGGAGAGACTGAGAAAACTGGGCATGTTCAGCCTTGAGAAGAGAAGACTGAGGGGGACATGATATCCCTCTAGAAGTACAAGATCTCTTCTTGCTGATGCCAAAGTGTAGGGCATGGAATATTCAAGTTGTGACAACCCAGGTTGGCCATCAGGAAGAGGTTCCTCACTTTCAGAGCAACACGACAGTGGAACCAGCTGCCTAGAGAGGTGGTGGGCTCTCCCACACTGGAGGCATTCGGAAAGAAACTGGACAACCATTGAGTGGGATGGTGTAACTTGGTGTCCTGCAACAGCAGGGCATTGGACCCGGTGGCCTTCATGGTCCCTCCCAATTCTACCATTCTATGACTTTGCAGTGGCTGCATTAAAAAGTGGGTACAATTTCCTTTGGAACATCTGCTGAAAATCAACTGTGCAATCTAGTCATTTGTAGCTGCACTGCACGTCCTTCTGTTGCTAGAACCGAATGCACATTTCCAGGCTTACCTACACAGGGCTGCTGAGCATGCCCTGCCTGCAGGAAAACAGCCAGTGCCACAAGGAGTGGAATGAACTGGGATGGCAACATCCTTTCGATCAGCTAGATAAAGAAGAAGAAAACCCAGTGGTAATCTTATTGTGTTCCTTTACATATGCATATAAACCTTCATAAACCTGCCCATAAGGTTTCACAACTGTGCGTGATGAACACACACGCTCTCAAAGAAAAGGCACTGCAAATGATGTGAGATGATATCCATTGAGCATGGCAAAAAGCTGGAATGAGATAAATATACATTAAGGAAGGCTGTATCTTTAAAAAATATCACAAGGGAGGAAGAACTATTTCCAAAGCCGCTTTAAAAGCAGGTGCTGATAGAGCCAGAAATTTTATTTATTTATTAAAACATTTTTATGCCGCCCCATTCGCCGAAGCCTCGGGGCGGCTTACAACAAAAAATTAAAATAACATTTTAAAATATATACAATAAAATACAAATATATAATATAAAACATACACTATAAAACAAGCCGCCCTGGCCAAATAAAATTCAATAATATTAACATTTAAAATACTGCTTAAATAAAAAGGTCTTCGCCTGGCGCCGAAAAACAAATAACGACGGCGCCAGGCGGACCTCTCTGGGGAGCGCATTCCATAACTTAGGCGCCACCGCTGAGAAAGCCCTCCTCCGAGTAACCACCCTCCTAACTTCTTCCACGGAGGGCTCCCGGAGAAGGGCCTCTCCCGCCGATCTCAGGGGGCCAGATATATAGATATGGTGTGCTCCTGTGCATGTTTAGACAGAAAATAATCCACTGATGCATGCTGGGAGTTGTGGGGGGTTGTCCAAACATGCATAGGACTGTTCCCTAAATAAATACACCTTCATCACTGAGGATGGTTGAGCTTGTACCATTCACCTAGGTGCCTTTTTCACATTCTCGGTGCCACAGTGAAAAAGGCTCTTCCGATATCCACCTGCTACATACAGTGAATGGCCTCACAGGTGCAGCAAATGCACGCCATTCCTGAAGCTCATTCTCTCCTGCGGCTGCTAGCCGCTTTCAGCTCCATCGCACAAGTTACTTCCATCTGTTGCTAAGCTCTCGGATTTCTATGAAATTTACAGAGCAATGGGCAGGATTGCATTTAAAAAATGCAATTGCCAAGGCGGAATGGTAAAACAGAGGGGAAATTTTGCAACTTTCAAGACAGAGCAGTACAGCAGAAGAGAAATTGTGCAAAAGTCCTTGCAACAGATATTTGGGTCATGAAGAGTCAGACACAACTGTGCAACTGAACGAAACAAACATTTGCAGAGGGCCATCCCTGGTGTCTGAACAGCAAGATTCGAACAACATGAAATCTAGCCTGAGAATTTGGGAGAATTCACTGCTTCTGGTGGGAGGCTTTCTAGACATTGTGGCAGCCAATGGAAAAATGACCCTGCCAGGTTTGGATGTTGGTCTAAGTCACCCTGAAAGCGCTCCATCTTAAACAGCCCTACCACAAGCCATGGGTTCCCAGGGTGTTTGCACAAACCTACCCACACAAGCCGTTCTGGGTTCAGACATGGTGCTAAGCCATTCTGTGGCCATCAACAGTAAGGATCCACACTGGCACAGCACGATACATGAATCCAGTCAGTAGGTACGAAGCACACTCTTCCCTTGGACCAAGCCTGGTCAACTTCACGGTGAACTTTGGGGTGGAAGATTATGATATGAAGATATTTTATCTTATTATATCATATTATATTATTGATATTATCAAGCCTAATCTTGGCAGGGATGGTGGCAGAAGAATTCCTTTGATTACTCTCAGTGTTCCCTGCAGTGCTTTT